CCTCCAAGAGATTTCAGTGCAGTTGGACAGGCTCTGCAACAAGCTGGGCTAAGTAATGTGTCCAAAGTCTTACACTGAGTTAATCACGATGCTGAAATTTAGACTCAGGTCCATCCAGTCCTAAGACCTTGTTCTTTCCACTTCTACTAGGAAGCAAAACAGAAAACAGAAAGAGAAGTGAGGACAGGTTTCTGAGTGGATTCCTCTTCAGGTACACAATTAGAAGTGGATTCCTCTTCAGGTACACAATTAGAAATGGGCTAAGAAGCCCTCTCAATAAAATCCATCCTCAAAAAAAAAAAAAAAAAAAAGAGGAAGGAAAGAGTGGGCTGAGTTAAATCTATTCAATTCAAGGGAACAGATTTAAGATAAAGTCTCAGAGGCATTCCTGGGACAATAGACTTTTTCCATAATTGACACATCTCCCTCTGCACTGGGCTGGCAATAAGTCTTACTGCCTTATTCTTTAATAGCGATCTTGATGTAACAATAATGCTTTTCATTTTAAAGCACACTCACCATTTTTAAAGCATGTACATATTTATTATTCCTTTTGACACTTAAAAATAATAACAATTATAATAGGCAGGTCAAACCATAGTTTTGGAATAAGACCTCAGTTTGATGGCCACCCTGGCTTCTTATGAGCTGTGTGACTGTGGGCTGATCAGTTAACCATTCTTAGCCTCAATCTTCTCTCCTATCAGATGGGATAATAAAAGTACCTACCTCACAGGGCTGTGGTGAGCATCCAAAGAGATAATACATGTCAAGTGCTGCCCAGCACATTGTCAGTGCTTAAGAAACACTAGCTAAGTATTATTTTTATATGTGCTTGTCAGAAAAATTATCTGGCATTCGAAAATAGAGACTAATAGGGCCTTCTTTCAGAGCAGTAATGGAATTGATTTTCTGCTGTGCAGAGGCTAACATGAAGGTGAAGATACAAATGTTGCGTTACTGTTTAGTTGCTAAGTCATGTCCAGCTCTTTGCAACCCCATGGACTAGAGCCCACCAGGCTCCTCTGTCCATGCGATTCATACTGGAGTGAGTTGCCATTTCCTCCTCCAGAGGATCTTTCCAACCCAGGGATCGAACCCGCATCTCCTGCATTGTGGGCAGATTCTTCACCACTGAGCCACCTAGAAGCCCAAAGACACAAATAATTTCTGTTTAATAGGGCAGATAAGCACAAAGATTACAGTTTATTGTCATGTTGGACATTAACCTGTTTTGTATCTAACTTGGCAATCTATTTTTAATTAAATTATATACACACACATAGCTCTAATGCTCTTTGAGCCAGTTTTAACATCTTAATGTTCCCTCAACAAATAAAATCTTTATGTATTCATATGATATTTGACTGAGAGATAAGGTTTTACCCTTTTATATTGTAACATACTAACTAATTCAGACAGGCCTGCCCCATTTACTGAGGAACTCTGAAACTCAAAAATGATTTCAACTTGCCCGGAGTTAGGAGCAGAATTTGGTGTTCTCAAATTCCAGTCCTGTAGTTTTTGTTCTGTCTTTTGCCTTTGCATGAATGATATATGAAAACAGGACAATAACAATGAAGAATATAAGGCCTCCTCTCTCTCAGGCTTTAGCAGTTCCCAGGCTATCTTCACAGCCACCACTCAATCAAAGAGGAATGTGAGAAACACCATGTGAAGCTGCTTTCAAATGTTCCACTTTTCTAAATGATTTTCAAACTTGTAGAGGGAAAGAACACTCTTTAACAAGACAGCAATGGTCGAGTAAAGGGATAAGGTGGGAAATCTGATATTTCACTAAACTGGTGAGTGGAAAATCAAAACCATTTTATGCAAAATAAAGTTAATCTGTATTGATTAGGTGGAGGGAGACTGAGTTGAATCTATCTTGGAATTTAAGCAGACTCAGCGTCTCTGAATATTTTATATTCTCTTTTCTCGGCATGAAAGGAAAGTAAGCTCTCAGAATTAGAGAGTAATTGAGAGCGATCCCTGTGCCAGTGGGCTGAACTTGCTGTAATGCCCTCAACCCGGAAAGTAACCAAACCTAGCATGCTGCTCAGATACCAGAGGCCCAGGCCTTTCTGGAAGGCAGAAGCACAAGCAGAGGACAGCGATAGGAAAGTAAGTATGGAGCCAGGGTTAATTTAGATGAAGCAGTGCCTGAATCAAGTGAGAGAAGCTACCTGTACATGTACTACAACTGTGGGTTTATTAAAACTACATAAATGAAGAGGGGTTTTGGTATTTTAAAAATTTCACCGACACTGCATTTTGGTACAGCTGGCCCCTCATTTGTGCAATTCTTTTGTCTTCAAATTTCCCTGGACTTCCTCCTATCTCTCTAGCTGCTCCTTCTCAGTCTTCTGATTGTTCGCCCCTAATTCCTCAGTGTCAATTCACACAAGAGTCATTCATTCCTTGGCCCTGTATTCTCACCCCTACCTGATTTAAAACTCATTCATAGACTGAGGCTTCCCAACAGTCTCAACCTCTTGCCTGAACTTAGAACTAATATATCCAGTTGCATAGGGGGAATCTCCATCAGATGCCAATGATCAACTTAAAATGAGTATGTTCAGGACAGAGTTCTGATTTTCACACCACACCCCTGTCCCCTAAAAGAACAAATTCCAGGTTAGGGCCTTTGCATAGGCGCTTCCCTGGGCCTGGAACAGACTTCTCACAATCATTTCATGGAACACTCATTCAGATCTTGTCCAAACATCACTTCCTTCAAGGAGCTGCCTCTGAGCCTCCATCTGAAGCAGCTCTCCCCTCCCCAGCACAAATCATTGCAGCAGTCTTGGAGATGACCTGGAAGCTGCTCCATAACCTCAGATTTATCACTATAAGGATATCTGTTACATAAGTGTTGACTTGTGACCCCTGCCCCGAAGTTCTGCCCCCACCTCAACAGAAAATGAGCCTCTGTGAGGTGGGACTCATATGTCCCAGTCACTGCTATTCTACCAACACCTAGGAACTCAATAAATTGTTACCAAATGCGTACATACATGAAAAAAATGCACCTCTAGAGATCTGTTTTTCCAGAAAACTGGAGGGTAATTATCACACAAAGCATGCATGATGACTGAGAAGGAAGAAGATAGCAGTGCAGTCATGACCTTGAATTTCTAAATTGATTCAGAGCTAGTAAATGCCACTGGAGTGATGAGGAGAGCAGAGGATGTGTGTGGGGGTAGGGGGGAGGGAGGAGGGCGGAGCAAACAGAACACAAGGAAGTGAATTGTTCACTTTCCAGACTTGGAGATTCCAATAATTCCTAAAGGCCCAGAAAACGAAAAGACTGACATAGAGTAATCATTTTATTTTTTTATTTTGCCAAGTAAAATGATTAAGGGGAAATGTTATCACCTACTGTCACCATCACTGTCATAAAATAAAGGACATTTAATTTCCAAAGAGTAGAAAAGATGTAAATTTCACATTTTGTTTCAAGTTGAATAAACTTGGTTTCATGTAAACTTTCTATATTGACTATTTCTCTCACTGCTCTATGGTCCTTTGGAAAAGTCACCATTGACACTGTGGGGAACCACTGATTTAAATGACTGGTTAAGATCAATATGGAATCCCTGGGAAACTTCCCATGTCTGTACTTGTCAACATGTCTATGGCTAAGTAAAGCTCTCTGATAAATATTCTCTACTAGGGCATTGTAATGTGCATGTGTCCTCAGAAACTTGGCATTGAAATGTTACTTAGAATTTTTCTCATACCTTAACCAATGATAAGGTATTGTTGGTTACCTTACAAATATGTTACCTTATAAATAAAAATGGTTACCTTATAAATAAATGATGAATATGTGAGTGTGCTTGCATGGGTGTGTGAGTGTCCATGTGTGTATAAAGAAGCTGGTGGTGGATCAATAGTGGTAATATGTAAAAAAGATCAGCAGTACCTACTTAACGACCAAGACATCTCAGATCATAGTTACATTACATAAAATACAAAATAGAATTTCTTTCATTTTACTGTAACTTGTTTTTAAAATAAATATTTTTTCAAAAGAGTAAGATTAAAAGGAACACATAATAGAGACAAGCCAAAAAAAAAAAATGTTCAGTCTCTTGGGAAAACTAAGAGACAAAACCATGTGAGACAAATATCAAGGGTTATTCACATTTACTGCTGAACCAATTCTCTAGGAATAAAAAACTCATATGAGAAGAATAATATATTTTGAAAATGGAAATATGAATCATTTCCTCAGATGATTTACTTTATTCTGAAAAGAGAAAAAGCTGCTTGCAGAGAATATGCAGGACACAAATGACAGTGAATAGAAACAAACTGTAAATAAGAGGAGGAGGAGAGAAAGATCTGGGGAGAGGAGGCATCAGCCAAGCCTGTGCGTGAAAGAAGCAGGGGTGGCTGGGACCAGTGTCACAGCGCGCGAGATGCCACTTTAAGAAATTAATTATTCAGGCCCAGGGGGAGCATTGGGTGACTGTAGCCAAACAAATAAGCAAATAACAATACGTCCTGGTTACTTCATTGACCTATGGCTCCTGGAGGGCAGTAAACAGGGACTAGGTGTCTGGCTATCTAGATACAGAACAATAATAACAGAAAATAATAAGAGGAATAATGGTTCCGATAAGGAGCTCCAGCTCTGCAGAGGCAGCCGCATAATCCACTCAAGTCAAGAAGTAAGAAAACTCAATTAGCAGCTGTCTCGCCGCCCCCTCGGATGAGAGAAAGGAGGGGAATTTTCTCCCACACACTCTCTAAGCCGTAGGGGTGTCTTCTGAGCTGAACAGCAGTCAGGAAATGAGGCTATTCAGTAAGCTGATACTGTGAACCACACGTCCCCCGAAGAGCTTAAGCGGAAAATAATACCAGAGGACAGATCGGAACGCCCAATAACAAACACCAAAGCAATTCTTCCTACTTAGTTCTGGTAGAAATTGTATTTTAAATAAACATTGTACTACTACATTTGTGACTTAGAAGCAAATTCAAAATCTTACCTTTTGACGCAACAAGGAGGCAAGCCTTTTACTGGTGCTCGGGACAAACAGTCGGTACCAAGTTTCTCGGAGAAGAGACCTTCCGCCCTGGGCGCTCCCCTGGAAACAGCGTGAAAACAAAATGGCTCCTAGACCCTCTGGTTTCCCTTGGTTACCGCAGTCAGTGCGCTTCCTGGGCTTCAGTCCCGCGTGCTGTCGGAGACATTGGGTTGGCTAAGAGGTTCATTCGGATCTTAAGGGGAAAAACCCGAATGACCCTTCAGGCCAACCCAATATATTCCCAAGCAGAAGACAACAGACCCAAGGACCCTGATTTATTTGCATTTTAGTAAAAAGGTTGCAGAGACTTCTATCATTTGTTCCAAAATTCATCTCAGCCGAACTCAGGTTAGTCTTCCACTCACCTGGAGAGTCTCTATGACCAGCGAGGGAAGACAAGAGAGAGAAGGAGTCAGGAGACCTGGATTTGGTCTGCCTGGACCAGCAGTAAGGCTAGTGGTGGTGGTTAGGCCTTGTCACTTACTTTCTCTGTACTTTCCCTTCCTTGGCTGGATAATTAGGGTATTGAGATCTCTCTCTCACTCTCTCTTTTTTCTGTCCCAGATCAGGGATCAAACCCCTACCTGAAGCATTGGGAGTCTTAACCCCTGCACCACCAGGGAAGAAGCTTGGTGATCTTTAAGATTCTTTCTAGTTCCAAAATGATATGATTTGATGTTTATAACTGTGTGATTGGACACAAAGTTTGAATAGGTCTGTTGCCCAAGAATAAATTGGCAATATCATTCAGTTATTTGAAATGGCCAGGATAACTAGATTTAAAAAAAAAAAAAAATCTTGGTTGACTATTTCAGCAACACTGACATGACCATGAAGAAGTCCTTTTGATTGCTTGTTGTTGTTGTGCTTAGTCACTCAGTCATGTCCAACTCTCAAGGACCCCATGGACTGCAGCCTGCCAGGCTCCTCTGTCCATGGGGTTTCTCCATGCAAGAGTACTGAGTGGGTTGCCATGCCCTCCTCCAGGTGATCTTCCCAACCCAGGGGTCGAACCCAGGTCTCCTGCATTGCAGGTGGATTCTTTACTGTCTGAGCCACCCAGGAAGCCCATTTGATTGCTTAAGATAGCTTAAAAAAAAAAAAAAAGAACAGCCATCTATTGATCTCCATCACATAATCTGATCTTGTTCATGGATATCTTGAGACACGTGTCCCACAAGGTTATTTTGTAAACTCTCCCCTATAGCACAGCGTTTTTGCTGCATCCTGGATTCTTCTTCTTGCTCTGTTTTCCAACGCCTCTTTGTCTGCCCACTCCCTACATATTACTTCCTTAGCACTCCTTCTCAGAACTTTCCCTCTCTTATTGTATTTGCCTTCTTTGGATGATTTCACCCTCAACCCACAATAGTGTGTGGTAAATGTTAACAAACAGCTCTTCCAGGAGGATAAAAAAAAAGCCCAGATTTGTAATGTTTGCTGATTTCTGTAGTGTACATGCTTTCTCTCTCCACTGTTGACTACAAGCTACCAATCATTGTGGAGCTGGGAACTGATGCACAAAGTCAGCCCTTACCATCTGTATGAGTCCACTCCAACACACCACTGCACCCACCAGTGCTAACTACCACCTACAGGCTCAAACCTCTCTCTTTTGTGTTGGTACCAAACTCAAATCTACTTGAATGTCATATCTTTTTAGCATCATCAAAGGCAAAATGGACACACAATCTTCCTGTAAACTTTTTCCCGTATTCTAGGTTTCTTATGGTTTGTGCTCAGTCACTCAGTAGTGTCCGACTCTTTGTGACCCCATGGACTGTAGCCCGCCAGGCTCCTCTGTCCATGGAATTCTCCCTGCAAGAATACTGGACTGGGCTTCCATGCCTTTCTCCAGGTGATCTCCCCAACCTAGGGATTGAACCCAGGTCTCTTGTACTGCAGGCAGATTCTTTACCATCTGAGGCATCAGGGAAACTCTTCCTATGGTAACCGTGATTAAGAATGATTTCCCCAGCCTATGGGAAATACGCTAGCCTGAAGCTTTGTGTGAATGCATCTTTTGAGCAATAGAATACAACAACAGGCTGGTGGATGGATATGGAGTTTCCCCTAGGAGAGAATGGATGTTATGTTCCATCATCCTGTGAAGTGGTTATTCTTGGGATGAGAAATAGGAACAGGGGAAATGCTTTGAACTGGGAGAGGAAAGAAAGCTATAGGACTTAAGATCAACTGAGTCTGAGTCTCAGATACAGAGAATCCTAGAGTCATTTCACTAGCACCAACAGAGTAACTGATGCTGTGACATGGAGGTAGTGAATGGTAACATCAAGTCTCTTATCTAGCAGTAACGTGGAGGCTGGAAAGGCAAGGCCAAACAAACAAAACAAGAGGAGGAGCGGTGGGGAGCTGGAGGTTGGGGGGCAACTTGTGGAAATGCCAGACTGAGGCAGCAACTGTGGACCTAGTTAGTCCCTAGAGGGCACATCCCATGTCCTAGGCTAGAATAGGGGTCCACAGGCAGCCATACTCATAAGTCATCTGATCCTGAAGTCATCTGATCTCTGAAGGGCATGAACAGTAGCAGCAGCAATGGAGCAGAAAGATTAGGAGGTTAGAGGGGAAGAACCCAAGAGACTTGCTCTGTGACTCAACTGAGAGGCTCTTAAAGACACAGTCAGAAATAACAAAAAAAGGCCCTCTGACAGGAGCTGGTTTCTAGCAAGTGGTTTCAGGGCAGACCCTATGCTATAGGGGTTTAGCTAGACTAAGGAAAAAATCACTTTCCACAAGCTAGTGGGGCCCGGGTATTCCTTCAGGATTACATTTATTTTTATCTAAATCAGACCATTTACCCCAGTGCCTAAGCCTGAAAACTAGGTATCATTCTGCATCATATCTAACCCACCGTGGATAATCAGTCACATGCTGCTGGCAGTGCCATCACCATTTTCTTGAATCCATCCTTGTGCTCACAGTCATTCCTTCATTCAGGCCTTCATCCTTTCTCACATGGATTTCTCTGAGAGCCTCCCAACTAGCCTCCCCAATTTCTATCTTGCTTCCTCCAATCAGACCATCTACTACACTGCTATAGAGAGATCTTCAAACAAAAACCTGTTCAAGTCACTCCTTTGCTAAAAATCCTTCAGCATAAAATCCAGACACATTGGATTGGTATGTGGGCTCCCTGATAGTCTTTCTCAGCTCAGCTCATTCTTCCCTCTCCCCTCTTTTACACAGAGTCAGCTAGGTAGGAGAGAACTTTGGATCTTTGCCCTACCTTCTTTTTTTTATCATAATAATGTGGTTTTAAACTCTCATGCCTTTTATTGTTGGTGGGAATACACACTGGTGTAGCCACTATGAAAAATAGTATACAGATTCTCAAAACTTTAAACATAGAACGACCATGTGCTACGTCGCTTCAGTCATGTCCAACTCTTCGTGACCCAGTGGACAATAGCCCACCAGGCTCCTCTGTCCATGGAGTTCTCTAGGCAAGGATACTGGAATGGGTTGCCATGCCCTTCTCCAAGGGATCTTCCATATGACCCAGCTATCTCACTTCTGGATATTTATCCAAAGAATACAAAGCACTCATTTGGAAAGATATATACATACCTATGTTCATTGCCACATTTACAATAGCTAAGATATAGAAGCAACCTGGGTGCCCATCAGTGGATGAATGGATAAAGAAGTTATCTTTATCCAAAAGATAAAAGATACATCTATATATGCCATAAAAAGATGAAATGTGGCCATTTGCAACAACATGGATGCACCTTGAGGATATTATGCTAAGTGAAATAAGTCAAACGGAGAAAGACAAATTCTGTAGGATTTCGATCACATGAAATATAAAAACCAAACAAACAAAAACACAAAATGAGTGAGCAAACAAAACAAAAACAAACCCATAGAAACAGTGAACAGAAAAAAAAAAAAGAAACAGTGAACAGAGTAGTGGTTATCAGAGGGAAAGGGGTGGTGAGCAGGAGGGTTAAATGGGTAAAGGGAATCAACTGTATGGTGACAGATGGAAACTAAATATTTGGTGGTGAGCATGCTGTAGAGTATACAGTAGAAATATTGTGTTGAAACTTATAAACCAATGTTATCTCAATTTTTAAAAATTGAAAAAAATGTGGGCAAAACTCTCATGCCTTTCTTCTACTGTATTGGGTTGGCCAAAAGATTTTTTCAGATATTTCCATAAGATGTTATGGAAAACTTGATAGAACTTTTTGGCCAACTCAATACCACTCTCATCTCTTCTGGTTTTCCTCTTACGTCTCTGGTTGTCTCTTCTCACTTTCTTCCTCCTCTACACGTCCCTTAAATATTGATTTTTCCCAGGGTTCTTTCCTAAGTTCTCTTTTCTCTCATCCTGGAAAAAGAAACTCATTTCTGGGGCATCTGCTTCCATCTAATGCTAAATACTCTTGAATCTTTGCCTCCAGATGAAACTTGACCTCTCAACACCTCCACACTGTGTTTATTAGGTATAGTAAACTCTATGTGTCTCAAACAGAGTTCTCTGACCTTCACATGGGCTTTCCCTCCTATATCCTCTCCCTCAGTTTATGTCTGTTTGGAAGTCATATCAGTTATTTTCTGTTGCCTAACAAATCACTCCCAAACAATGGCTTAATTCAATAGTCATCAGTAGTCATTATTATTGTTCATAAGTCTGTGGGTCAGCTGGGCATTTCTGCTGACCATACCAGACTCAGCTGATCGTGGCTGGGCTCTATCGTGTCTGGAGCTTTGGGTGGGACAACTGGACTAACTGGGCCCTTATGCTCTCTCACCCTCCACCAAGTTGGCCTCAGTTTATTCACATGGAAGACGGGCAGAGTTCCAAGAGAGAAAGCAAAACTATTCAAGGCTTCTGGAAGCCTAAGACAGGAATGAACACACTATTACCTTCATTGTATTCTATTGACCAGAAGTCACAAAGCCAGTCCAAGCTCAAGGGATGGAGCACATCAGCTCTTGATGGCAGAAACTGCAAAGTCAAATTATAAGTGATGTAGAAATGCAGTAATTTTTCAATCTACCACAGAAGTAATCCTAGATACCTACATAATAATAATGTGCTACTACTGCTGGTGATGGTGGTGATGATGATGATGGCAG